CGCTAAATGACAACAATGAAAAGCCGAGGATTCTCGTGATTGGCCACATCCTCTAGAACAGAAAAACACGAGAATTCTGGCGATGTGTCACGAAGTCACAAATTACAACAGTCAGAAATTTGTCTGTCTATTATGTAGGAATCTCGGACGAGTCTCCAATTTGTAGGAATTTTGATAAAATATAGTTGTTTATTTTGGGTTAAATAAAAGAAAATTGGTTCAATAATGATTATAAAGTGACGTTTTACACTAATTGCTCTCTTCTGTCTCTCAGTTCACTGTCTTCTCTCGCTCACTCTGCTCTCTCTGACGCCTCGACAATCACTATGTTCTCTTTGGCTTCTCGATACTCACTCCCTTTTTTTCTTAGCTGCACAAAATTCGTCGTTGCTACACGCATACACACAAACGCATCCATACCTTAGTGCCTTAAACGCTAGGCCTGGAAGACTCGTCATAAACGATCCCAAATCGCAAGTCCTAGACCTAACTTTCTCTGCAGTTTATGGCACACCACTTGGGACATCTGGTTGTAATTGTTGGGAATTCCCACAGTTATAAAATCAGAATTTTAATCGAACTGTACGACGAGCAAGAGTGAAATTGATTATCATTAACGAGCAGCTCCCGTCGTTTATTGCTGTTTGCTAATCGCGCGAAGTTCAAAGAGCAACGGCGGTGCTATCTGTTTAAAGTGTGCCTCGACGGAGGAGAAATTTCTCCTTTTTTTTTTTTTTTCTTGCTCGATCGATCCTCCATTTTCGACATTAATAGATTCTGCTAGGATATTCCTGTGATTTGTAACTGACATTGATGAAACAGGCAAATTCTATCGGAGAGAATTTGGAATTTTATTCAAGGAGCGAAGTTTGAGATTTGTCAAATTGCGAAATTTATGGAACAAGAAGAGATTTGCAGACGTTTATTACGTGTGTTCTGTGAAACATTCAAACTATATATATATATATAATGTGGGAATTTATAAGATATATATATTTAGCAAATAACTGTCGTAAGAGTGGTGTAACAACTGTGAATTATTAAATATTTAAGAGTTGTTAATATAATGGACAATTGAGCTTTTAAATACTGTGCCTCGTCGTTCGATGAACCAATGATGAAGCGGAACGGTACAATTCCGACAAATCAGAGATCGTGACGAGCGAATTGTTTATTTTGCAATTGATTCGCAAAATATCGGTACGCCGCATTAATCCTCGCGTTGAATATTGCACGCAGTGTTTGAATTATAATTAGTGTCGCACTTCTGTGATTGAGTAACATTTGCTCGGATTTTTCTAAAATTTGGTGAAATTAAATATCGATAGGATGATCGGTATCAACCGTTTCTAAAGGACGTTGAACATAACAGGCACGCGAGTTAAAGGCTAGGAAAGAAAACAATAAGCTATCGTCATGATAGAGCGTGGCAAACGTTAGGATTTCTTGTCTAAATGCATGAAAAAATCCAAACATTTCTATAAATAGAATAAGAAAATAATTCTAATAATTAGGATTATAGAAAATGGCTCAAATTATTGTGTACTATTAATTAAAACATTATTTATCACAACATAATAATATTACATTAATATAATACTATGTAATACTTTTAATACTACAATTTCAATTTTCAAAGTTCATCGTAGAAATTAACATTATTGTACTAATTTATTGTATTAGATGTTATTGCAATATTTTGAATAATTACTTCAAGCTCGTCGCGAAACACACACTATACCTAATCGGAATGGTAGTTAAAAAGTAATATTTGCAATAAGAACAACAACAATGAATGCAATCCTTCGGATAATTTAAATAAAGATCAATAACTATTTCAAGTCTTTCTAATAATTAGAATTATAGAAAATGGCCCGAACACTGTGTATATAAAATATATCTACCTTGTATATAATTTAAATTCTTGCTTGAAACTTGATCAGTGTCATCGTGATAGTGAAACGTCACTACAGCATTAATAAAATTTACAATACACCTAATATTTTCGTAAAAGATTCTTACGAGCGTTTGAATATTTTCACGAGAAATTGTATACACGTTGAAAGTTGTACCGGCTGGATTTCTGTACTGAGTAATTATTATCACAAATATTTTGATAGATAATTACAATATTTGGTGTTGTATGTGTATCGTAGAAACTGTTTATACTCGATAATTAATTCCAAGGATCGATTGTAATTATTAATCAAGTAACAGGAAATAATCGCGCGTCTCACAACCAATCCTCAAAACGAATTGATCTTCAACCAACTTCACCGAGTTATTTACTATATTCTTGCAATTACTTATTATTTTATACTACACTTTGCAACGCAATTATTAATCAACCAATCACTCGCAAGCAGGGAAATTCAATGAATTCCATCAGTTGCAAATATCTCGACAGATGGATCGTCACTTAGTGCAAAACATAGTTTATCCAACAAAACCTGACCACGTGTCTCTCGAAAGAACGACGATCCATGCCTCTTCGACGAACATAAAGTCGGCCAAAAAAAAAAAAAAAAAGAAAAGAAAAGGACGGTACTCGCAACCTCGCGTGGTGACCTACGTGAATTCTTAGACGGTCCATCCATTAAAGCCAAAGGGAGCAAAAAGGAAGCGACTCCCGAACGAAAAAAAAAAGAAAAAAAGAAAAAAAGAACCGAGAAAAGTTGAATAAACGTCCATAAATAAAAAGAAGAGGATGAAGGAGATCGTGCGTAGTTATGTGCCACGGTAGTTGGCAGGGAGGTGCTACATTTGACACCTCGGCTTCTCCGTAAAGAGTTGTCAAACCACTGGCCCTCCAGCGTCCACGCGGCTTCCCAGCCATCGGGAAAGCAACACAGGTGGTTTAGGCGCGACCATTTCCACGAGGAGGCCAAGTGACAAACATCATGGAAAATACGCGGTCCACCGTGAAATTGTTGACGCGGGAATTAGGAGCGGACGGGTTGTACTACGCAATTTTCAATTATCACCGATTAACCGGCGTCGCACCACGTCGTTAGAATCCCCGTCCAAATGTAATTTATCGTCGCTGCGTGTAAATAATGAATTAGTGATGGCGGACGCGCATAAAGAGCGACCCTCGGGCGAGTTTTCGGATTCTTCTTCGTGTCCTTTCGTCTCATCGCCGCGCGCGAATTATTGGTTAGTGCAGTTTCGACATTTCTGGAACGCTCGACGCTTTTGTTAAGTTTTCGTTAAGTTCTCGATTAATAACGATCTGCATTCTTTCGAATTTCGCGTTCACTCTTTAACCACGCACGAGAATTTTCTGTCCCATGTTGCAACGTTTTCTCAGTTTCAAGTGTATTGAAATGTTCTTATTAGTTCTTAATGATTTCTATAATAATTGGTTCTTAATTATGTATAATTGCTATTTATATTATTATACATAATTAAGAACGAATTATTATAGAAATCATTAAGAACTAGTACATACATTGAGAACTAATAAGAACATTTCAATACACTTAAAACTGAGAAAATTGTTGCAATTTGGGACAGAATATTATACTATAATACTATAATAATTATTATTATACTATGTTATTATACTATAATAACTAGTTCTTAATTATGTATTAGTTCTTAACGATTTCTATCCAGTGATATTGTATCGGCGAGCTTAAAAGAAAAAAGAAAGATCACTGTTCGGTCACTCGTTATGGTCCGCAAATGACTGATAATTTTCTCCAAATTGTAAATATTGCTTCTCAGACTCTTTGAAGTAAAATTAATTGTTCGTATACATTCGTATGTTTTTTAAAGAAACAGATATTCGTATGTTGTGATCTATTCTCCCTTCAACAGTTCCTCGACGATAATAATCACATTATTACATTTAATAATAATTGCCGTAGCTTTGAATAATGTCGAATGCCCACGCGTTCGATTTTTTTTACACGTAATTACAAAATTTGTTATTGTTGAAATGTTGCACGATCCCTGAGTTTTCCAACACGAATGTTTGAACCAGAGTCATACATTTAACTCCATCGATAAAAATCACGATTCGTTAATATTTCACTGAACAACAATTTTTGTCAGTTCGACGATCGCGACGATGCAAACAGTCACGATATAATTAAATTACCATCGAGCCTCGTTAGATATTTAATCCAAACCGATCTCCGGTTTGTGTATGAAGTGTCTGTGTGTGTTCGTTCGCATATTAGGACTAGCTCGAGGAACACTAATCCTATGTAATCCCGCCGCGTAAGAGGGAAGTGGTCAAGCCTTTCGGGGTCTTAACGGCTTCAATTATCAACACCTAATTATGACCGGTGATCCTAATACAACACCGTCGTATCAGAAGGGCCCTTTGAGCTTCCCCTCGAGCGCCAGTTCCCTTTTGCAAATTTGCTCTTTGTGCCGTGATAGTCCGTGTCCAGACAATGTAATCCGCAAATAGGTTGCGCTCATTTGTCCACGGTGATAAAAGTCAACGTACCCGTGCCATTCGAATTGCGGAACATTGCGAGTACTCAGGTTGATCCTCCAGGCTTAACTAACGCTGAAGGAAATCCCTTTGTTACTCAATGTTTAATGCTTTTGTCTTTGCCACCGTGCACTCGTTTACTCATCTATCGACAACGAAAGATCGGAGTTTTCATTTGTCAGAAGAACTCAAGTTGCACTCAAGTCTTGGCATTTTCTTCGTGGACGTTTGTAGGACGTCTTACATTTTTGTGAAAGAATTACTTTACCTGTCGATTACTTTTACATTTCTTTCCGCGATTTTCGCAATCTTCGAATTTTTTCACACACAGTGCACAAAACTATGGGTCTAATTACAACAGACTGGGTGCCGTTAGAATTATATAATGCACGTTGGGCAGTGTATAAAAAAGAAATTTTCAAGAAATGAAACAATCCCTGTAATAATCAAAAGAAAAAGTTCTACGAAAAGAAGTAGAAAAATATAAAAGATCGTTCGTCGAGAAGATAGTTCCATTGTCGTTTCGATAAAAAGTAGGAGTTTCCTTTACCTGATATCGAGCCGTCGTTCGGATGCAGATGATGATTATTATTCATAAGGGACGCGTTGTTGTTGTTCTCGTTTCCAGGAACACCGCCCGGACCGGAGCAAAGCTTCCCACCCTCGAGCACGTCGTGATCGTGTCTACAGAAAAGGCCGTCCTGTCTCAGGGCGAATTCGTCGCCAGGAACTAGCTGCCTCATGCAGGCTGAACACCGGAAACACTTGATGTGATAGATCTTGCTCCTTGCTCTCATTACGTAGTCGTCCTTGCTGAAGCACTCGCTGCACTTGTCGCACTTTGTCCCGAACAGCCTGAAACGAAATGTTTCTCCGCGTTAATGCCTCCCCCTTTTCAATTTCGAATTTCATTCATTTGTACGAAACGTGTTGGAACAACCGGACAAGGTGAAAGAAAGAAGGAAAAGCAATATCTCTTTCGGAGAAAATCGAAGTTTGAGGATTTCTCGTTTAACGCTGGAATAACGTGCCAATTTTTGTTCAAAACTTATAATATTTTCTCAGTTTTAAGTATATTTATAATATTTCAATATTTTAATATTTTCTTAGTTTTTATTAATAGTTAATATTTTAATATTTTCTTAATATTTTGTTTCTTTAATATTTTCTTAGTTTTTATTAATAGTTAATATTTTAATATTTTCTTAATATTTTGTTTCTTTTAATATTTTCTCAGTTTTAAGTACATTTAAGTTGAAATAGGCGAAATAAATTACTTTTCAATAATTTCTATTCGGTGATGTTATACCGACCGAGTTCAAAAAGGAAGCGACGATTTATCGTATACCGGCTCGGTCGCTCGTTACGGTCCGCAATCGGCTGTCAGCGCAAGCGGTTAAAATGAACATTCGAAATTATTTCTTTTCGAAGGTGTTTCCAGCACGGTGCACACACTTTTACACACTCCATTTTCCTATAAAAGGGGAACGAGCTTACGAAACGATATTAATAAATCTAGGATAGACAAAAATACCGGATTGAATCTGACGTAACACTGAGCCGCGTAATTTACCCAAATTCTGGAACTCTACTAATTCCGCTAAGTATAAGAATTGAAATTACCACCTTTTCTCTTCGGGCAATTTTGCCGACAAATTTATTTATTGTCTCTCCATTTGCGCCGATGCGTGTTTCCGCGAAATTTTACTCGGCCGCTGGATCGAGCAGTTAATTATCGGTTTTTAAGCTAATTGTGCTTCTCTCTGCAGCACACTTCGTCCGGTTTCTCCGCACGAACCAAATTGCATTCATTAGCGGTGCTTCCTAAATTGTCGAATTTTATTAATAAAAAGTTTCATGCGACACAGAATCCCAGCCCGATGGCAGTTAATTATTAGTTGCTTGGATAATTATATCATCGCGTTTCGTTCATAATTCACTTGCAAATGGATATCACGATGTGCGTGTGCGTCGCTTTTTGCGTAGCGCTTCGCTCGGAAATCTTAGGGTTAGCATGTTTTCGTCTCGAAATAAAAACGTTTTAAAATACAGAATTTGTAACATGTGGATATATTAACAATTGTATAATAATATAAAATTTAAGAATTTTATTTTATTCAAGAAGTACGTTAATTAATTCTTAATTAAGTGCATTGATAATTTTATCAATAACAATTTAAGAATTTAATTATCAAACTGAAGCAATTAAGTAATGCTTTATAATATATTATGATATTATAATATAATATGTAACATATTATATTCTTATATAACATAATGTATAATATATATTACAATATTATATTATATATTAAGATATTATTGTATTATAGTATTGTATTAAGAATTGTATTTTATATTACAATTTAAGAATTTCAGTAGTTATTAAAACTGTCAAATTGGAACAATAATGCTATATAATATAATATAATACAATATAATATAATATAATGCTATATAATATAATATAATATAACATAATATAGTATAATGCTATATAATATAATATAATATAATATAATATAATATAATATAATATAATATAATATAATATAATATAATATAATATAATATAANTCTATATAATATAATATAATTTTATAGCTATAAAATATTAAAAACAAAGTGTGTCCTAAGACTTTCGCGTGGAAGTATAAAATCCAATACACTATTCTTCTTTAGTATCATAAATGATATATATTTTAGATTAATTGACGTGCACATTTCTTCATTGAAAACTATTCTGTTTAGAAGAAAATAAGAAAATCGTAGAAAAATTCTATCCAGAAAAGTAAATGAGCTCGATATTGTAAGAAATGGAGGCTTCACATTTTAAAAAATTATCATTGTACGATTTTTTCCTCAATTAAGTTATAATAGTTAGAAATATCAACAACAGTATGAAACATCGTCGATATTTTAAACTGCTACAATCTCTTGAGAAAACGAAAGTACGAAATTATACCTGAAAATATACCTGAGTTCATTTTAAAGCATCCTGTACTCTCACAATATTGACTTCGTTCTTTCTGTCAAAGATGCTTTCGTACTATTTTGAAGGCAGTAAACAGAGATACTTTCCCCTCGAAAGTCTAGCAAATTCAAACATCTTCGTGGGACTCAGGAAAATTTCTTTTCACAACTAAATCCGCCATGGTCCTCTCTTTAAAACGATCCCATGAAATTTGTTCTGCTCTTTTCTCTTTTTCCACAAAATTATCGACAACTTTTCATCGAATGTAATTTGTTTTAAAACGAAGAAGAAAGAATACTCGAAATATTATACAGACTACTCCACGGGTGTTCAACCAGTTTTGATAAAAACTAAATTCTTGGATAAAACCCTGTTTAACAAACAATGCAAAACAATAATAAAATCGCTGAAATGCTTCTCTTTAATACTTCATTTTAACAATTTATAAATTTGTTGACTTCTTGAAGTTGTAGCAATTTAAATTAAAAATATTAAGTATTCAATCGGCATCCAACAAACAATAAAATCGCTGAAATACTTCTCTCTAATAATACAGTTTTACAACAATGCAAATTCGTTTAACAATACGATACATATTTTCCACGAAATTGTAGCAATTTAAATTTAAAATATTTAATTAATTTATACGTATCGTGAATGTCTAAAATAGTCAGTAATTCGTACATTATTATTGTTATTAACTTAACTAATTATTATAACTATTATTGTTATTAACTTAAATGGATTTCCAACGTACACGTGCTCTTCGATGCCCGCATCAGGCTCACGTAGCAACACTCGAACAGACAGAATCGGAGCGATGAAACACTTTTTTTTTTTTTAACGCGTAATCCTAAAGTTCGCGTTATTTTCCATGAACGTCTTGGTGGAAGAACACCCAGAAGGAAACGTTTCACCCCACGGTTGTTTCGACTTTTCGTACGAGGCGACAGGAACAACAAACAGGCGTCATCGGTGTCTCTCGAGCGGTGGCAAATCCCTGTCGACCGGATATGCCAGTCTTCTTCTTCGTTCCGGACGGCGTTTCGACGTTCGATGAATCAATGCAAATAAACTGGCTGTCTCCCGTCCAGAAAAATATTTGCCACAGTTTTTCTTTTTTTTTTCTTTTCTTTTTTTCTTTTTTTCCCCGGGTAGAATCCGTGTCGATCGATCCCGCGAGTCTCGAAGACGTTTTGTCCTCTCTCCGGATTACGTCGAAAACATGGCGTGCACGGTGAGTCGAAAAAAGTATCTTGCAATATTTTTGTGAGAATAAATACACTAACAAGATTGATTTTCGCAAATAGTCTACTATCACATGCGAAAGTAACATTCCAAGTGAATGAATCAAACGAAACTAACGTCCCGCGTTGGTCCCGAGAATTTTTTGTCCCAAAATTGCAATATTCTCTCAGTTTATTTAAGTATAACACAGGCGAAACAAATAATAAATTTATTACTTCTCAGTAGTTTCTGTTCAATGCAGAAAGAAAGCGGCGAATCATTGTATACGGTTCGGTCGCTCGTTATAGTCCGCAATCAGTTGCCAGCGCATGTGGCTGAAAATTCGAAATTAAGTAGGTAACTTAAAATTCGAAATTGCTGTGTCGATCAGTGTCCAATTGTACCAATTAAGAGTTAAATGTTAAAGATGGTTTCACTAAATATTCAGATTTCTTGGTACAATGGATCATGACAATTGAAATATTTCTATGATTCTTTACAAGATAAATATTTGTATCGAATGTCTTGTAATTTCTTCGTGCATTTATAAATTTGTTTCAATCCTGACCAATATCTATAATCGTCACAGTTATTTTTAGCTATAACGTTGATGAAATTTTAAGAAAGATTTCATACGATACACACACTTAGTATATAAATATCCAAATACTTTCACTGCAAATTAAAACTAAGGGTTTATTATTCGTGAAATCGAAAGAAACATTGATTATATAATTATTTGTAACTTTTACATTTGTAGATTTGTTTCAATCCTGACCAATCATAAGCATATGTAAGTATTTTTTTTTTGCATCGTGAATAATATCCTTACGATTTTTTTAATTCTACGGATATATTATAATATATGAATAAAAAAATTCCAAGGATATCATTTACGAAACGAAAAGAAATATTTATTATTCCTTCTTTTAAAAGAAATTCTATTAAAAATGTTTGAAGTAAAATATCGTATACATTTATAGTTTCGTTTCAATTCTAATCAGTATAATCGTCATGTAGTCGATATTAATGAAATTTTTGAACGCAAAAATATATAATAAATATAAAAATATTTTTATATATATAATATTATATATTATAAAATATATTTATAAATATAAAGATATTTTAATATATATAATATTATATATTATAAAATATATTTATAAATATAAAAATATTTTAAAAATATTAATATTATATACTATATAATATAGTTATAATGTATAATACTGTACTATACTATTATATATTATATAATATAGTTATAATATATAATACTGTACTATAATATTATATATTATATATGATAAAATTATAAAATATATTATTATACATTATATATTATATATTATAAAAAATATATATATTATAAAATATATTTATAA